CAGCTACACGCCATGGGCCCGAAATGAGCAGGAGTCACTAATGGATCATATGAAACGACTAGAGAAACAAATCAGTCAACTGTTCATTACTGACGTAAACCGCTCAGAACCAACACCAGCTGCGGGCGAGGAGGCCACTAACGCGAACCGTCAGATGGAGAAGTTTTCTAAAAGAATCAAAGAAACGACAGAAAGAATCAGAGAATTCGACGAAAATTTGACGGCAAGCAGGCAACAGCATGAGGATCGGCATCAGGCCATTATGAAAAAGATGGAAACCTTCTACGACAGAATAGAAAGAAAGATAGACAGCAGTATAGACGCCATCAAACAGCAATCGCAGGAAAGGCTAGAAGAATGGGAGAAAAGGATAAAAGCCCTCATGGAGGAGAGCTTCATGAAGACTGATGACAGTCTTAATTTGGCAGTCGCCTCATACCTAAGAACCCTAGAAGAGAGGCAGCGGACTCCAGAACTCCGAGAAGATATTCTCACTTTGCTCGAGGACGATGCGGAAGTTTCGAATATGCAACTACCAAAAAAGGAAGATCGCCAGCCAACTCCGGAAAAAGCCTACAAAGTCAAAGAAGAGGCCAAAAAAGAAGAGAGTCGCGCTCAAGGAAGTACCCAAAGGAGCGCGATTTTGAAGCGAGTCATAACCCAGCAAAGAGACCAAGATCGGAACGAAGTAGAACCCCATACAAGGTTTCTCAAGCAAGAACAAAACTAAAAGGACTCAGAGAATGCGGTGAAAGAAAAATAGGAGATGCAAAAATCAGTTTATGTACCGCAGGAGCCCGTCTCGTAGTGTGTGCTTTCTGTCGGCAGCGAGGAAAGCACGAGACGGATGCGTGTACAGCGTTCACGACGGTCAATGAAAGAAGAGCGCTTATAAAGGACGAGGACATGTGTCGCATCTGCCTTAGGAGTCGCTGCAAGGAACGATGTGACCCCATTAAGCGATGCGGATATTGTGGGGACAAGACCCACCACGAGTCACTGTGCCTTCTGCCTGAGGAGCGAAAAGAGCTGCTGGGCATAATCAACAATTACGACCAATCGCCGACGGCGGGAGTGTGCGGGAAAGGACCCGCACTAGCACGAGAGCCGCATAGGCCGATCTCATGTAAATACAACATATTTTGTACCTAATAATGTGCGTATATTATTCATAAATAGATATTGCTCATATTAACATTTTATGCCTTGAAATCAGTGACTTATGATCTCTTTCTCTTCATGATTTCTCACGGCTCACTAGAAGGTGGGTGGTGACTCACGATAAGTACGGTAGCATACGGTATTACTTGATCTCTATGTGACCTCTTGACTCAGAGTAGGAAACGCCGCAACTCTAAGTTGCATACCATGCCATATCAATAGCCAGATTTCCGTTGTAGCAACTTTTGATTCTTGTTGTTTTCGTCATCAAGTAAAGGTTTCAGTTACAAGTGTATTCTCTTGTGGGACGGTTCAGTCCGAAGCTACCTCTGTCTAATTACCTGTCTCATTACCAATACCAGACTTTAGCTCTTCAGTGCACAAGTGCAATCGTCTGGCAAAAGAAGGCGACGACAGCTTGGACAACACCCGATTCTGTATTGGAGTGGCCTAAAGCCAAAAAGAAGACTACGGCTGGTAACCCAGAAGCGGGTGAACGAGAGGATAGCGAACCGAGAAGCGTAGCTGAACCACCGACGCCAAGCAGGTTGGGACTTTACCGTCTTCTCACAAATTTTACGCTTTCTAACTTACTGTGGCGGTCTCACCTGTGATGGTTGTTCTTTTCTGCACCCAGCTGCCTCTTCCACAGACTGTATGCTGTTCCAACGACATCGACAGTCTATACTGTCTTCCGGTGCCCAAGTTGGGAACTTGAGGTGAACGCAGAAGTGTCTCTACAAGGAGAAGATGAAATAATCAGTACAACATACGCTTGCTCCCAGGACACAACATTCACTCCTCATTAATTGGCACGATCGTTCCACAGCTTCCCATTCTATCATCCACGTTCATTACGGATGGTAAGCAAACGTCAATCATCAATCCAGCGCACGCAGGAGAACTACAAAGCCACTCTGCTGGCCAACTACAGTGTTCCTCGCATCCAAGCTGCAGAACAATTTGACTGCTACTTTCCTCGTCATGCATGTACATGCACCACTGCTTTGCATAGCGCCACATGCACATGCAGCAATGGAAATATCCGCGATCGCATGGCTCCTCAACCACTTCCACAGGCATCGAAAAACTTTATCATTTTTCAGTCCAACGCCGATGTCTACTCACGAACAAACGTCGGATCAACTATACAGCTTCAAATTGCTGCGGAAGACCTCCGATTAACGGCACTCAAAACACATCAGCCGATGCCAAGTGGAACCGAGCGATCTATCCGGATGTTACAGTTGCACTACCGGAGCCTCGCTAACACTATCCTGCACGAGCGACAACGACGAAGTTCTAGCCCATATCGAATGCGACAAGCACTCCCACGTAATCAGATGCACAGAGTCCGGCTATCTCAACACAATCTTTCTTCATGTTCGACACTCCATCAGTCACCACCAACTGCATCGCCGTCTGCCCCGGAGGGACCGTGAACTTCACGATCAAAGGATCGCTGGCTTTCGTCAACGAAAGGACCATCTCTTCAGATGTCAGCATCACGAACGTCCAAAGTGGAAAGTGATCTATCCTTGGCGAATGATATTTTTGTCAATTTTAGGGACACGATTGTAACGGCTGCAAAAGGTGTAGCCTCTTTCTTCAGTGTATGGGAAATATTTTTTATTCTTCTCCCTATCTTTATAATAGTGACCCTTCTTTTGAAAATCTGCTCGAGAACGCGCCATCATAAGTCGAATTGAACTTTTGCTTGCCGTTGGGAGTCTTTCTGTATCTCTACAGAAATAGAATCAGCTTTGATCATGTTTTCATATAGAAATTCCTTTCCTGACTCATATCAATTGAGGGCTTCTCCAAATGAATCACTTTTCATCTTGAAATACCTTGACCGACTAATAGCTAAATGACTCAAGCTATATTTTGTCTTTCTGCTGTAAATTGCCTCGAATATTAGAAAAATGTTATTGTCCATGACTTCAACACGCATCATTTTCTGTTCCTATAAAAGCTTGTGAGAATTAACGTTGACGGCTTTCACCCAATAAACTGTTCTGAGCGGAAGTGTTTCCCCGTTCTGGACAGCAGCTTCGTTTTTCACTGAAGGACGAGCCTTGAAGGCGGAGCCTGGAGGCCAAGTCTGGAGGCGGAGTCATTACGCCATAGCCTCCCCCCCCCCTTACAATTTTTTGCTACGAAACCGGTATAAGGTTGTTCGTCACGGACCACAGTACCCTCCTAAAGCCATATTTTCAACTCATATACGTGACCGCGGTCCGTAGCTTTCAATATCGGAAGCCCAGGCATATCAGAATACTCGTCAACAGTTACAGTCTTACTCGCACGATCAGCAGGTTTACAACTCAAGGAAGAATGCATGCAGGCCTCACATCCCTGTCGCTTCAGCCGTGAACGTGAATACTGAAATTAGGGCTTCAACCCCAGAATCAAACCGACTCGTCGGTTCCTTATATTTGTTCGTGAAAGGGCAAAACTCGGCGCCTTGATTTTGAATAATACCTTCCACGATACTGCCCCCCCCCGCACTGTTATCACTCATCGATCCACTACTAGAGATCTTATTTATTGAAGAACGGAGGTATGAATGAGCACACTGATAATTCCTTGTGATAATTAACATATCCCTTCCACATTGATAATAACATAATTATCAATGTGGAAGGGATATGTTCTAGTCCTCTTGTGAATTACTGAGTTTTTGTGCGCGTTCCACGTCGTCCATGTTACGACGAGCCTCAAGTTGAAGAGTAACGGCGGCAAGAAAGCCTGGTATGGAGTGTCGTTCTCCAATATACCTGGAAAGAATAAAGATCGTTTGAAACAATGGCAAACAAATATAATCTAGGAATACTTCTGCATCTCTTCTTCCCAAAGACGGCCCTGCGAAAGAGTATCTTGACCGACATCAAGGAGGTCGACAATTCCCGTTTCGATGTTAAACTGAAAATAAATTACACTCTAGTTCGCTGCGGACGGTTGGGCGTGTCAGGCAGTATGAGTGTGTCACCCCGTCAAAGCCGTTCTCTGCCTTCTTGTTGAAGCGCGCATGCGACAAAAAGTGGTAGAAAACGAGTAATACGAACGATATGATACAGTCATATCATTGCTCGCTTTAACAACTGGTGGAGAACGGGTTTGGCACCGCGCCAAACTCATCCCGCCTGACACGCCCAACCGTCCGCAGCGAACTACACTACATATGGTGTCGGGAACGAAAGCTAAAAATATTAGGTTGTTCCATTGGATTTAGGAGCGGTTCCATTCGATACCACTGCAAATAGATAGGATGGATCTTCGGAATTTGCTCAATATACATACAGTTCCTCTTCCGAGCTCAAAGCCGCTGGTTAACATTATATTGGTAACGCTGCATACGACCTTCAGGTGAAACACTGAGCTTGCTCTCATACCAAAACAAGTCAGCAAAAGAAGCGGTATAAAGGAGTGCGTTCTTGAAAACAAACTGTACCCTCACACTTGAGAACGATTCCTTCTATGGGCGAGGCGAGTGGGTTAGAAGCTGTAATAGCGAGCAAGTTTCTTTGCTCAAAAATGCACCGGAACGGGACTGGGTATTGATATCTTGGTGCCATCAACATTGATCGCGCTATTCTCAGCTTGCAGTGCATCGATACCAAGATCCCGAAGCGGCAGGAAATAAGCGGAACTGTTACGGAGGAAAAAAGTAGCGCGCTTCCAGGCGCGGCGCTTGGTTAGGATAATGTGTGGTGGGTGGCCACGCGTAGCGCGGGCAGAACGGCATCCGGGTCTCAGTACGTCCAGCCCCGTGACCATAAGTGCCACAAGCGATAGGGATGGTATCGGGCTAACTGGGTGGTCGACCCCTAAGTAGCGAATTCTTTTCGGTCATCTTCATCCACTGCCTCTGCTTTGGGGTCTCGAATTATAACTGCAGGCCTCTAGAGAGCACTTCTGATTCCCGATCTCCTGATTCAGCATGGCCTGACAGCCTTTTCTACGATGGTTCGTTATTCAGTCAGCTCAAAGGAGAGATCACTAAATAGAAAACCATTGGTAGAAAAGCTCTCCCGCTGAATTGTACAGCAACCGATAGCAACCCCTTATTCCTTGAGTTTGATTGCCTGAGCAGCCTTGTCCCCGACACATTCGAAAGGGCTAGGTTCATAGCTGATAATTTGGTAGGTGCATGCAAAAGCGGGAGCGATGTTCGTTCGAAGCTGGAGGTTCATATAGCGGTTTTATGGCCCCTTTTTACGGGACACTTTTCTGCGAGGCGCTGTTCCCAACGATTTTATTGTTCGGAGGTGGAACCATGAGAGACGCCTCGCTTTGCCCCTGATCCGTTGGCAGACCACGACCACGATCCTTCTTCAATGTGAAGGGAAACTGGTCTTCGGGATAGCCTGGGAATGATATTACTATGCCTCTCTTCACTCCTTTCTCTTCCTTTACTTCTTTCTTCTCAATACTCTTTATATAAAACCATGTCAAAATTGTATTATCTTTATACGAGTCGCTCCTAAATTCAAACGGGCCGACCTGGTAGTAAACGCACACAAGAGCCAACCTTGAAAACAAACTGCTTCTCTGTCTCGTCATAAACACTGTTCACATAGCAAATCCCTTCATCAGCATCCTTCAGCTTGATTTGGTAACCCGTCAGAGTTGTAGTTATTTCTCTGAAAACAATGCCTCTTTATGTGGACAAAATGTTTTTTCTATCGCTCCATTATTGCAATATCTCCTTGGAATTTCTCTAGCTAATATGCTTTTCTCATCACTAAGTCGAAAGATAGACAGATTCCAAGAAAATCAAAAATTACAGATTCCACGAAAATCAAAAATTAGGATCCACCTCCTCGCTTAACCACACGAGCGGTACAGCAGGCTTCATGCGATGTACTGGCCTAGTTAGTTGTGCATCGCAAGTGGAACGGAGGCAATATCCACTATCTAGGCCAACTACAACGTGAAGCGTAAATTACTCAGCCAGTAGAACTTTTTCTAAGGAAACTCTTCGCGAGGTTGATACAGCAGTTTATTCGGCTTACGCACGTTTCGGCGAGACCGCCTTCATCAGAGCCTGAAAGGACCGAAACGATTTGCGACTATCCGATCAAATGTCTCTGCAGCCTACTGAAGTTCGACCCTAAACAGGTCATCACCCAATCACGGGGAAGAGCACTTACCGTAATCCAGTCCGATCCCAGAGACCAATAGGAAGGTGGCAGCTGAAGCTGATCGGACTGCTCTGCATTCAGAGCCCCTCGTGGAAAGGCCACCCTTATATAGGGCCTCAGTTCCCGCGTAATAGTGAGGCATTCTTCCCTCCGGTTCATCTTTGGATCGATGACCTGGATCCAGAATGCCTCAAGGGTTTTTCGCGCGGAGGTTTGTGCCTCTCGCGCTAAGACCTCAACCGCGACTCCAAAAACAGCCCGTTGTGAATTTGGACCCTATGGGCACCCAAGGCAGTAGACACTCGTGACCTGCTCATACCATCCAGATGCTCTTTCACCCTCACGCAAAGCGGACGAGCCGTCTCGCCGATGTACTGGTCCCCACAGCTGCGACAGGTGATTTTGTAGACCACCCCTGTCATAGTACAATCACCCTCTTTGCCGGCCGGGCAGACCACACAATCGGGGGTTGCACATAGGCGGTCGTACAATCGATTCCTCACCAGGCGGCGCTTCAGGTTATTGGGTGGTATATTTACAATGGCTACTATGTTCTCCAAACCTGACCTCCTCAGACACCTCCTTACGGAGGTGCTCACCTCATCGGAGACGTAATGGTAGCATGAAAGGGATTTTGCCGCTTATCATGCTACCATGCGCCGTTCGGAACATGTTCCTCACTACAGCGCGTTTCATCTGGAGAGGGTGGGCAGACTGGCAGTGCACGATGATGTTCTTGCTGCTGGGCTTCCTGTACCACTTTGTCGAGAGCGTGCCGCCCTGAATCTTCACCTGAATATTTAGGTATGGGAGCCAGTTTTCTGACGGTTCTTCCCTTGTCAGTCTTATGTGCTCAGACTGCGAGTTGAGCAGGTCAAAACAGGCATCAAGCTCTTGCTGTGTAGAGCAGACCACCAAACAATCGTCGATGTAGCGGCAATATAACATGGGGTGGCGTTCCAGAACAGGCGCCTCTATCCTGGACATGAAAGCGATGGCCAGTGAGCTCGCTAGTCGTTGCCCCATAGCTAAGCCCCTGGTCTGCGCAAAGTATCTACCAGAAAATGTTACAGTTGAGACACTCATTGAGCAGCGTCATCAACTGGTTGATAGAGAATCCCTGCAAGTTGATCTCGCCCTGGTGCTGATTTAGAAGCTCCATTACGGCTTCCATAGCAGACACATTGCGTTCGTGTACAGGGATTCCACGTCGAATGACTCCATAACGCAAGCACTGTTGATCTGCAGTGCTTGAAGACGATCCAGGAGCAGCGTGTTTGTCAGGTGGGATGGTATATATCTGAGCAGCTGCACCAAGATGACATTGAGAAACCAGGCGATCCTGTCAGTGGGGCCACCCACGCAGCTGATGATCGGTCGAACTTTGACCGAGGTGGGTTCAATTGTTGCCAGATCTTCCGTCATCGAAAACTTGTGTGTTTTGATGAGCAGATACAGGACGGGACAACACGGCGACTCAATTTTGAGGCGTGTTATCAGACACGGACTCAAGCCTGCTGATCTAGCTACTGCAACCCACTGTCGGTTCAGTTTGCGAAACTGCGTCTGGAACTCCTTCGCAGAGGATGGCCGATAGAGGGAGGTATCCGCCAGATGGTGCTGTGTTATATCGTGGTCAAGTTGGCGGGGATAACCACGAATTCTCCTCCCTTGTCACTGACGGAAAGCCTGATGGTGCCGGACTTCACCAGGTCTCGAACCTGCTTGAGACCACCCATTTGCTCTCGCGTGATGTTAGGTGGTACTTTGCGCTGTTGTGACCTACTGAGCACTTTGAAAACCTCATCAGCGAATATTCTGAAACTGATGTCGGCGCTGACGTTGGGCTCCTGTTGCTTGAAATGCGTGGGAGGGAAAGGCACGTGGAGTGAATTGGCAGTATGACCAGGCACGGAACTTCCGGTGTCAACTTTTGCCTTGTAGCGGAGCCGATCTTGGAGTTCATGCAGGTTGCATATGACTTTGCGCATCACCCGGTGGAAATGGGCTGAGACGGTGAGAAACTGGGGCCCAATTCCAACACGGAACGTGCGCTGGCCGATAAGGGGAAACCTCCCAGCACGGTGACCCTGGATTCGGAGGAGCCCGATCCTGTTGTGCCACTCGCTTGATCTACTGGGACCCGATCGGTCACGGTATCCAGTGATCCCCCCCCTGAGACTAGGTGATGAACTGTAAAGGTCATCGAACTTCTTTTGTCACAAATCGATTTCGACCCACTCACGATCCTTTTCCAAGGCGGTCCTCCAAGTATTTAGCACAGCACTGTTCTTTTGCCACACACTTCTTCAACATGGAGTACATGAGATCACGTTTGACACGTAGTGCTATCCTAAGAAGTTGTAATTCAACAACTAACAACGTGTGGCCGAAGCGCTGCCACTGCGAAGTCTGAACGCAGCCTTAATCTTTATTATTGATGTTGAGGCTGGAGTCAAAATCTCGTCAGAAAATGGCGTTCACGCTTTGACAATCCTGATATTCTCTCATTCAATGATTTAGAGCACACAGTTAGGACGCTTCAAAACACATTCATTCGGGCGCCGGAAGTTTTCCGCATGCACATGTGAATGCAGTAATGACGGCTCAGTGTTGAGGTGAGATGTTCAAATTAAGCAATACCTGTATTTCTTAGCAAGATCTGTTTGAAGTCGGATGGTCTGCTCTTTCTCGCGTTCACTTTTCTTCAGCTGAGCTTCGAGAGCGCTGATGTGTTCCTCCCTTGCACGTTTCACTTCGCTTGGTTCTTCCCCAAAAACGGACGTTTCCTAAACAAAGACCAATAAACCGGTACGCATTCTCCCTGAACATGGTACACAGCGCGCTCCTTCCGGCTGAAGCGCGCTCTACCCAGCTGTTGTAGGTTCACAATGTATGAAATGAATATTGCTACCTCTTGTGTAGAGATTATCCCTTGCAATATCGCACGCAATGTACGTTACATTGCAAAATGAATATACTTTTATTTGTTGTCGTTCTAGTTCGATGAGTTCACCTTCAATAAATCTCCTCGTCTACTGGCTTTCTTTCGGCTGGAACTTACAACGATAACAGCAAACAACTGGCGATCAGCATGAGATCACGCTGTGGCAAAACAAACACTTAACCACCACAACAACTGGCGATCAGCGGACTACGATGCGGACCAGCCGACGACAGCAGCGAGGACGGAGAAGATCGCCTACTGCAGCTTCCCAGTAGAAGACAAGCGCTCGCGAACGCTCACAATAGATGCTGAGCGCTCGTGCGCCATCCTGCATGTCCAAACCACGGCGCTTTAGTGAATCTTGAAGGCGAATTCCCGCGACCACACTTCATAGGTAATACAGTTCAAAAATAGAATTGCCCTGTGATTGTTGACTTATTGAAGAGAAGGAACCACGAAAAAGCGCCCGCAATAAGACCCTCTTTATTTCAATTGATCATGATCACCGGACGAGCAAGATCGATTGTGGATTGCAAAAGGCGGCGAGACACTGATAAGAGACGAGAGAGGCCAGAAAATGACGGGCGAGAGAGCGCAATGGCAATGTCACAACGACACGGTCACTGGAGGCCGGCATGGGCCTATCGGGCGCCAATGGGCCTAAAACATGAGCGCCGTGCGTTCTGCTTGCTGTTTTTCAACTTTTAAAAGCATCCTCTACTGTTGCCTGCTTGATCATCATGCACGTTTATGAGGTTCTAGCCTTAGTTTATCGCGGAACGTGCCTTTAAGCCAACAGCAGGAGGTTCTGTCAAACAGCAAGAGTGGATGTTCAGCGAGCTAATAACCTACATGGAAGGTATAGTTGCCGCTTCGCGCTCACTCCAACAGCTCCCGTCACAACGGTCGAAGTCGGTCACGAACTCCCTCTCATCGCGATGAGTGAATTCGTTTACGATCTTTACAATGGCTGTACAACCGAACTGTGGTACAGTCCATACAAAGACCCATCGCTAGACGGTGCCACGCAAGACAACTCTACAATGACTACTTACCGTCTCCAAACTCGACGCCGTCACATAAGGAATGTTCGCGAAGCCATTCTCTCGGAAAAAGGCATGCAACGTTGCTCTGGACGACGCGGTGACAATCCTAAAGGAACTCTTCGGTCGCAATATGGGCATTTTCTACCCGACGCTACGTGTACCTGAAGTGTCAGCAAAATTGAGAAAACCTTCGAGAGTAAACCGAAAGGGCCATCCAGCGACACTCAGTGGCCGATTTCAACGACGTCAGTCCTGACCAGATGACTTGCCTCCTATGGCTATGCGGAATGGTTACCTCTAAGTATGCCGACATCCGTACACGTGCTCCCGCAAGTTGTAAGACGCTAAAGGAGCTGGCACTTGAAATTCAGCAATTCCCCTACATTCGCCAAGTTGCCGCACTACTCGTAGGAATCACTCCACAAT